CTCCCCCAACCTGTAGTTCGGTGTTTTTGTTGGAAATTGTGGTATGTGACAACTTCTCTAAGTCCAGATTTTACCCCTTTAATTGCTGAATTTTGTCTGTTAAATTACTGCCTTGTGTGTTCGAATTGTGCTGGAAAAATGGGAGGAATTTCGGTAGCATTTAGCAGCATTTTAAATGTGTTTTTGTGATTGGTTTATGTAGAATTAACTTAATTTGGCTGCTGTGAATTTTATAGAGAAAATCCCGTGAGATTAGTTATTGTTTTGCCAAATTTGGAAGTTGAAGTTACTATTCACGGGTACTATTCACGGGTACTGTTCATGGGCACTGTTCACACACCGAGGGTTAACAATATTTAAATGTTTAGTTTGTAATATAAGAACAAATTTGGAGATGTCCAGTCATGTGGAGATTGATAGAAATAGCACCGTGATTAGGGGTAGTACTAAAGATGATTTCACTGTGAATTTGTGGTAGTGCGGTATTAACTCTTAGGTATTTTGATTAGGTTCCTGATCGTTCTGTCAGTTTAGCATTGAGATCGAGTCTTCGGTTTTATGAGAGTGAGGTAAGTAAATTATGGTAAAGCCCTTCGATTTCAAAGCATGTTTTAAATTGTTTTTGAGATGGTGGCAAGGTTTAAATTGATTTTATCAGCATTTGAGTGTGATTAAACTAAAATGAAAATTGTGATGATTTTATGAGAATTTCATTGTTTTTTTCTGGAATTGAGCATTGTTGGAATGAAAATGAGGATTTCATTGTTTTTCTGGAATTGAGCATGATTGGAATGAAAGTGGGAATTTCATTGTTTTTTTGGAATTGAGCATGATTGGAATGAAAAAGAGAATTTCATTGTCTTTCTAGAGTGGAGCATGCCTATTTGGAATTGACTGAACTGCTTTGATGATTTGAGAATTTTTTGGAAATTCTGATTTTCTGTTAAATCCATGCCCACATGGAAATTTTTTGGTTATTTATGAAATTTAAGATTGATTGTGAATTTCGGGTTTTTCTGTAAATCCTGCATGGTTTTGTCTCAGATATAGTCATGATTACTGACGCTCGCTAGTGGGAGTTGTAAACGCTAGCACATGTCGACATGTATTTCTGTAGAACCGGTTCATCTTACCAATGGGATAATACATTGGTAATTAGTGATGCCTGCTAGTGGGAGTTTGTAAACACTGGTACTACTGACGCCTGCCAATGGGCGAATACATTGGTAATTACTGACGCTTGCCAGTGGGAGTTTGTAAACACTAGTACCATTACTGACGCCTGCTAGTGGGAGTTGTTAAACACTGGTACTTCTGTAACCTTGCCAATGGGGTTAAACATTGGTAACTACTGTGCCCGCCAGTGGGAGGTTTATAAACGCTAGCCATGACTTATAGATGAGACTATTACTGAATTTTCTTCTGCATTATCAGTTTTGTCATTGAACGTTTTGCTATTGAACTGAATCTGATTTTGTTTTAACAAGTTATCATTGAACGTTTTGTTATGTTAAACTGTTATCAAGCATGCTAAGTTTTACCCAAGGGCTACCCATATTTATTTACTGAGTTATCTCATAGTTTTCTTTGTCCACCATTTCAGGAAGCGAAATTGAGGACGGGGAAACCAAGGGGAGTGACGAGTTAGAAGGCTAGCCATCTTGTAAATTGAATATGGAGTTAGATATAAATGATGATATGGTAAGCTAGATTTTAATTGGAGATTTTACAATTCATTTAGTGGATTGTTAGTTTATAAGAGATTTGACCTTGAGATTTTGTGATTTGAATAAGTTCCGAGCCTTGTGTACTTGTGGGACCCGTCTCACAAGTGCACGGCGTCTGCAACGTCCTCGGATTTGGGTTCTGGGACGTGACAAAGGGGCACTTCATATTTTACTTACTGAGTTTATCTCATAGTTTTTCCTTGTCCACCATTTCAGAAAGCGAAACCGAGGACGGGGAAACCAGGGGAAGTGACGAGTTAGAAGGCTAGTCATTTCAAGATTGATATATATTTTAGATATAAATTATGATCTTGTAAGTTAGATTGTATTTGGAGATTTTATGATATCAGAGCAATTTTAAATTTTTATCTTCAGATTTTGTGGTATTAGATTGTGGTATGATAAGTTCCGAGCCTTGTGCATTTGTGGGACCCTCTCACGAGTGCACGGCGTTTGTCGTGCCTCGGATTCAAGTTCTGGGGGGTGACAATATATATATACACTTCATGAAGAATTGAATCTTCCTATTCCATTGGTTTTATTTGTTTTATTACTCTCAACTTTTTTTATTGTTTATAGCAATTTCTTATTTCACTTCTATTTTGTTTATTAGGTTGCAATGCACCCTAATTCTCAAATCATTAATAAGTTGATTAAAGTACAATCTTATCCCAAAATTATATGGTGTCTTCATTGTAATACCCCAAAATTTTGTGATATTTTAGCATTAAGTTAAGGACCTTTGTGTGAGAAAAGATTGTTTTGGGGCTTAATGTGAATATTCTGAAAGTTGAGGGACTTAAAAAGGGAAAAGAATTTGGATAAGGATGACTTCTTTTCTTTTTCTTTTTCTTTCTTTTCTTCCCAACCTTGCCCGATTTTGCTCTTCTTCTTCTTTCTTCCCGCTGCAGCCACCCGAAAAAAAAAAAAAGGGGAACCCAGCCATGCCTTGGAAAACCGGTGAGAAAGCTTGGTTTTTGGCCTTCTTTTCTTGCTCTAGAACACAAATGGAACCCAGAAATCTCCCCCTTGCAAGAAGCTTCTGAATCTGCTCTGCTCCTCTTCACCGCCGGCTGCTCCTGCTTTGTGGGGGGCAAATTTCTCTGATTTTGGGTAAGAAACAGCCATGAATCACCCTTCTCCAGCTTTGATTGCCTTGGGTTTATGTTAATTGCTCTTGGTTCCTTCAATTTTTGGGTAGCCCGTGAGCTTTCATCTTCCATGCCGCCGGCCTTCCCCAATCTGCAACTCCAGTTTTAGCTGGAGAATTATGGTATGTGACAACCGTTTAAGCTTGAAATTATCCATATAGTTTGCTGGCTATGTTGTCCGAATTTGATAGAAAATTTGGGGATAATTCCGGTAGCTTTAGGATGAAGTTTAAGTATTAATTCAAGTGGGATTTATATGATTGAGTGTTAATTGTCTGCTGTGTGATTTTTGGAGAAAATCCCTTGAATTAGTTAGTGTTTTGGCCAATTTTTGGAAGTTAGAGTTACTGTTCACGTCGTGGTACTGTTCACGGGGTACTGTGCATAGACACTGTTCACACCCCGAGAGTCAACGATTAACGGGGATTTAAATGATTAGTTTGTGATATAAGAACAAATTTGGAGATATCTGATAATGTGGAGATTTATAGAAATAGCATTGTGATTAGGGGATGATCCTAATGATGATTTCAGTTTGAATTTGTGATAGTACGGTAATTAATTCATGGATATTTTGATTAGGTTCTTGATCGTTCTGTCAGTTTAGTACGTGAATTGAGTGCTCGGTTTTGTGGAGTGAGGTAAGTAAATTTATGGTAATGCCCGTATTGTTTTAAAAGCATGTTTTGATTTATTTTTGAAGTGGTGGCAGGACTAAACCCGTTTTATACAAAAATGAGCATGATTGATTTGAAGTGAGATTTCTATGCTTTTCATTAAATTAAGCATGCCTACTTGAAAGTTTAATTGATTGTCCTGATGATTTGAAAGTGATTGGTAAAGCATGATTTTTCTGTTAACTTTTGCCTATTTTGTCTCCAATGTGGTCATGTTATTAGTGACCCTGCTAGTGGGGGAGTTTATAAACGCTAGCACATGTCGGCACATGTCGATATGTTATTGTAACCCTGCTAGTGGGGGTTAAACGCTAGCACATGCCGGCACATGTCGACATGTTATTGATAGAACTGGTTCATTGAGTGACCCTGCTTGTGGGGATTATACACCAGCAAACAGTGCGCCTGCCAATGGGTGTTAGACGCTAACCATGACCTATAGAGGAGACGTCTATTTCGTTCTCGTATTGTATCCGTTTTTCGTGATTGCACATGTTGGCATGCTATAAGTTTAATTAAGGGCACTCCATATTTACTTACTAAGTTATCTCATAGTTTTCCTTGTCCACCATTTCAGGAAGCGAAACCGAGGACAAGGAAACCAAGGGGAGTGACGAGTTAGAAGGCTAGCCATTTCAAGATTGACATAGATTTTAGAAATAAATCGTGATATTATAAACTCGACTTTATTGGAGATTTTGATGGTATTAGTTTGTGATTTAAATAAGTTCCGAGCCTTGTGCACTTGTGGGACCCGTCTCACAAGTGCACGGCGTCTGTTGCGCCTCGGATTTGGGTTCTGGGGCGTGACATTCATTGTAAATGGAATGCAATTGCTTTAGGGGAAGGATGAGTTAACCGGTCTTCTTGGTGTTGTTGGTATTGATATAAATGGAAGCTACTTTACACTTTTTTTTATTAGTTTAATATGTTAATAAAGAATTAGACAATGTGAAGTATATAACAAAAAAATATATAAATAAAAAGGTTAAAACCCCTTTTGGTCCCTGAACTATTGTACGAACCCCCAATTTAGTCCCTGAACTAAAAAAATCCCTGATTTGATCCCTACTGTTTACCATTTTTACCCCGATTTGGTTCTTTCGTTAAAATCTCACCATTATCTCACGACAATTTAATGACATGTCAAACATTTGAGACACGTCAGTTGTATAAATGAATAAATAATGACATGGCAACATGACATGTCATGTCCTTGCCCAACCCAACAAAAGTGGAACCCACCAAAATTACGAATTTGCCATCATCTTCTTCCTCCAGCAAACAAACCCAGCACCAAACAAAACCAGCACCTGGGTTGAATCAAACCCAACAACACCCTTTTTTTTTCCTTCCTCTTCCTTGCATTGCTTTCTTCATCATCATCAAACACCAAACCCACAGAAAAAAAAAATACATTTTTTACCCCTGGGTTCTTCGAACCCACGCCGGAACCCAGCGCCTGGGTGGGTTCGAAGGAACCCAGGCCTGCTGGGTTCCGTGGGGAAAGAGAAGGGAAAGGGGAAGGAGGAAGGGAAAGGGAAAGGAGAAGGAGAAGGAGAAAGAAAAAAAGAAGAAAAAGATAAAAGAAAAAAATTTTAAATTTTATTTTTTATAATATTTTTTTATATTATTATTTTTTCCACATCATCACTTTTTGACTATATTATCTTCCACGTGGATTACTATATGACATGTCATCGTGTTCCCGTTAGTTAACAGTACACGTCACTGGATTTTTAACGAAAGGACTAAATCGGGGTAAAAATGGTAAACAGTAGGGACCAAATC